AGTTTTTATCTCAAGATCCCCAAAACCCCAAAACCCCAAAACCCCGCATTGTTTTATTAATATTGAAAATGAATATCAAATTTTATTGATTTACTAAAAGTCGAGCTTACTTTCATTAAGACTTCTCTCATATCCTTCTCGAGTGGCTACTCTCTGGTCTTCATCAGTATCCTCCTTGTCAAGCTTAGCTAAATTGGCAAGTTCATCTACTTTACGAATCTGGTTGAAAGTATCATCAGTATATTTCTTCGAGTGTTTAGAAATATATTCATACTAAACTAATAAACCTAAGCTTACTTTGCTTTTAATGGTCGGCATAAAGCATTTCCTTCCTCAACTCTTACTTTTCTAGATAGATTATTGCAAGAATGTACAGTCTGGCACCTTTTTGGTAAGAATTGACTAAATTTTCGTTCACCATCAACTTCTTTGTCCTTATTTGACGATATTTGGGAGCTAAAAGAGGTAAATAGTATCCTTTAAATAATATTACCTTTTTGAGCTAAAATTTTCAGTGTTTCATTGATCAATATCTATACTGTAACTTCCTGAGAACCATACTGAAATAGCCCTTCTTTAAGGCTCGCTGGAGTTCATCGTCATTAATATTCAACTTTTTTAGGGTTCTTTTAAGTGTTGTGAGTTCTGTAGATAATGTACTTATGTTTTCATTCCTATAAATTTCACTGTTTGTGTTACAATGTTGCTCATCTAGTCTCATAGAATCTCATCCTTCTGTGCATCTCATAGGGGTCCATGATTAGTAACTCCCCATTTTTCTCAAACTAAGACTTAATATATTTTGATTACCTTGAACAGTTTCCTGACAAGGTCAGAATTGATTTGCTTGAATTGATCGCACTGCTTCTTAAAGTCATCTTTTTCGGACTTCAGCTTAGATATCTTCCTAGAGAATTAGTCAGAATTTGATCAAGGGATTGATACCTTGTTATCTCAGTGACGTCCTCATCCTTCTGGACTGATTGTTTCTATATAGTTCCTCTTTCAAGGTCTTACTCTGAGAGCTTTCAATGACTGAGAGAGTGAGTTGTTCCTCTCTTTAGTATCTTCAATTTTAGAATTTAAATTAGCAATTTCTGCTTGATATTTAGCTATTTTTACTTGAAATCTACACATTTTAAAAACAAAATACTCTTCAGTGGCAGATATCAGATGATTAGAACAGGAGGACAACATATCGCTTGAATTTTCTAGCTGGATTGCAAAATCTTTACGAAGCGAGTTGATTTCTTTTTGATATTCTTTCTTGATCTCTGCCATGTGCCTATTCAACCTCTTCATCCAGTAACTGGCCGTTTTATTTCTGTATCATGACCTCTAATTTATTAATATTCATTGTATTTTGCTGTCCCATTTCAAGTTCTATCAATTATTTTTCAAATGTTACCAATTTTCTGCTTGTGTTCCCATAGAGAAATCTCATCTTTCAGCTCAGAATTCTCATTGACTAATTTTCTGTTCAAAGCTTTCAGCTGGTTTACTTCAATTCCTCTATGCATTTCTGGAAGAGTGAAGGGCACAACCCTCTGCTTTACAGGGTTTGTGGAACTATTAAGTCATCAGGAATAGTTACTTATCACTTTCTCAATCTAATGATATCTGTTTTGAACCTTTCCTGGATTTTGACTTGGCACTGACTCCTAAGTTTTATACTTTAAAATTACGAATTTTGTTCTGTCTTCAAGCAGTATTTGTTTTAATACTTCCATTGAAGCTATTAACACGGGAATTAGCCCATTTTCTCTGAACTTTAGTTGATTGGTCAGTTAAGCAAGGAGCTAAGCTCAACTCTACATTAGGCGATAAAGTTTTGTTCGCATCCTCAAAAAGTTTATATCCATTTTTCGGTTGAAGAGGTAAACCCTAAATCGTTATTAAATAAGTTTTTGACTAAGTTGCTTACTTTCGTAATCCCTGTACTTCTCTTCAAGGCTAAATTGATATTTGAGTTTAGATATTTGGAAGAATATTTCAAAGTTATAGTACAATAAAATGCTAAGTTACCTGCTTGGCATGTAATTGTAGGACTTCTGCAATCCCTTCCCATAGAATTCAATGATATCCTTATATCTGGTATGTCTATTCCCAAGCTGAGTTTTTCAGAATAAAAATGATTTAGTATTACCTCTGTTCTTCTTCACTGAGGGAGAAATACTCTTGAATCTCTTGACTAACTCATCTCTAGCCATCGAGTTTCTTTGGTAAGTTTTATTGACTTGCTTGTTCCCTAAATTATTCAGCCACTTTGTCTAGTAAACAATTGACTAATTAACTATAAAAGGAAAGAAAGTAAAGCAATTCTTTATTTAAAGGACCCACCTGTGCTAAGATACCTCTGGTTCATATTTACTGTATTATTCCTAAATTGATTTTTCTTGGTCATTTTTCTAGCTGCTGCCGGAACTTTCTTCCCCTTACGGTCTTGTGTGGCAAAAGGCCTCTTATTCATCATTATCTATTAGAAGATGAGAAAGCTGCTCAAGTGAGTTGTTAAAGTGAGCTTACATGTTATGATTGCCTAATATATATAATTCAACAGTTTTCATAATAAAAGGGGTTTTGGGGTTTTGGGGTTTTGGGGTTTTGGGG